GGTTGAAAGTGAAAATGCCATTAATCTAGACACCGTAACCGAAGGTGTAGCACAAAAAGAGGAAGAAGTGGTTACTATCGGTACGTATTAATTACAATATATGAAATTGAAAATGATACATTTTACGATTTTGTTTATTTTTATATACTCTTTTCATATTACAGGTAAAATGATGGATCACATCGATGAGTTCGTGTCTAAAGATACCCTAGAAGTTATCAAGGATATAGCGATCTCATCAAATGTAGTCGATGCCGAAAAAGCAGTGAAGTTAGCAACAGAGCTCAAGGAAAATATTTCGGCTATTATGTTTTCTCCAGAAATCCATTTATCCGAAGAGACGCTAAAGGAAAATCTTACCGAAGCAGATGTATCTCTGGCATTTGAACTTCAGCAAGCTTTGTCGGTTGTAATAACGGAAATTAACGAAAAAGCTGAAGAACTGTCTTCACAATTCTACGGTATTAATATGCAACAGGTACAGAGTAATCTGACTAGTTTGTCTTCTGACCTTAAAGCACTCATCACGTCAGCACAAGTCATTGAAAAAACAGACGATGTTAAACAAGCAGTGGTTGAAAGTGAAAATGCCATTAATCTAGACACCGTAACCGAAGGTGTAGCACAAAAAGAGGAAGGAGAAGCGTTTACTATCGGTACGTATTAGTTACAATATATGAAATTGAAAATGATACATTTTACGATTTTGTTTATTTTCATATACTCTTTTCATATTACAGGTAAAATGATGGATCACATCGATGAGTTCGTGTCTAAAGATACCCTAGAAGTTATCAAGGATATATCGATCTCATCAAACGTAGTAGATGCCGAAAAAGCAGTGAAGTTAGCAACAGAGCTCAGGGAAAATATTTCGGCTATTATGTTATCTCCAGAAATCCATTTATCCGAAGAGACGCTAAAGGAAAATCTAAGCGAAGCAGATGTATCTCTGGCATTTGAACTTCAGCAAGCTTTGTCGGTTGTAATAACGGAAATTAACGAAAAAGCTGAAGAACTGTCTTCACAATTCGACGGTATTAATATGCAACAGGTACAGAGTAATCTGACTAGTTTGTCTTCTGACCTTAAAGCACTCAACACGTCAGCACAAGTCATTGAAAAAACAGACGATGTTAAACAAGCAGTGGTTGAAAGTGAAAATGCCATTAATCTAGACACCGTAACCGAAGGTGTAGCACAAAAAGAGGAAGGAGAAGTGGTTACTATCGGTACGTATTAGTTACAATATATGAAATTGAAAATGATACATTTTACGATTTTGTTTATTTTCATATACTCTTTTCATATTACAGGTAAAATGATGGATCACATCGATGAGTTCGTGTCTAAAGATACCCTAGAAGTTATCAAGGATATATCGATCTCATCAAACGTAGTAGATGCCGAAAAAGCAGTGAAGTTAGCAACAGAGCTCAGGGAAAATATTTCGGCTATTATGTTATCTCCAGAAATCCATTTATCCGAAGAGACGCTAAAGGAAAATCTAAGCGAAGCAGATGTATCTCTGGCATTTGAACTTCAGCAAGCTTTGTCGGTTGTAATAACGGAAATTAACGAAAATGCTGAAGAACTGTCTTCACAATTCGACGGTATTAATATGCAACAGGTACAGAGTAATCTGACTAGTTTGTCTTCTGACCTTAAAGCACTCATCACGTCAGCACAAGTCATTGAAAAAACAGACGATGT